AACCTGAATTGTTCTATGATTCTATGAAAGACAGCAGAAGCGATGATGTGGGAGGCCTTTTCTGTAATTACCTTTAGTGTCACAGGAAAGTTCGTACAAGGTATGAGATTGGTCAGCTGTCGGCTTAAGATGGCCTTATTTAAATGTGATATAGTGTAATTGGGGACTCTGAGAAAAAGCATAGATGATATGTAAAAAGTACACAGGCAGCTCATACTGAAAAAGCATTGAAAGTTAAGTTGGAAGTTGCTGAATGTGGTTTGGCCAGTGTTTTCTAATCCCTCTTGATGCAACTTTTGCTGTTGTTCCCTCTAGCTGAGGGACAAGGAGTACTTTGGCTCAGTAAACTTGGTAAGGACTCGAATGATCAGGGGGTTGGAGCACCTCTGCTGCGAGGACAGGCTGGGAGTTGGGGCTCTTCAGTCTGGAGAAGGGTCTGGGGAGACCTTATAGCAGCCTGCCAGTACCTGAAGGGGGGGCTACAGGAAAGTGGGGAAGGACCGTTTACAAGGTGTGTAGTGGCAGGATGAGGGGCAATGGTTTTAAAGTAGTGCAGGGTAGATTTAGATTAGATGTTAGAAAAGAGTTCTTCACAATGAGAGTGGGGAAACACTGGTGAAACACAGGTTGCCCAGAGGGGTGGTGGAGGCCCCATCCCTGGACACATCCAAGGTCAGACTTGGTGGGGCTCTGAGCAGCCTGATCTAGTTAAAGGTGTCCCTGCTCACTGCAGGGCGGGCTGGACTAGATGACTTTTGAAGATCCCTTTGAGCCCAACACATTCCGTGATTCTATGACTCTGGAATTTTGTTTAAGTTTAGATCTTCAAAGGCATGTGAAATTGATTAGTTTTGAAACATTAAGACTATTTTTATTTGGGCGCCTTACAGATAAACACATTAACAGTCATTCTGACTGAACGACAGTAGTTTTTTGAGGAGAATTTCAAGTCTGCTGTTTAGTTTTACATATATACAATGTTTCCTTAGGATCAGGAGCTGCTTGGGAAAGGTGAATACAAATGCATTATGTTATTTGGTCACAATTCCTGTTAATAGTAGTAAGTGTCCAAAGTCTTCTATTTGGAATATATGTCCATGCACTTAATATTTAACCATTAAAACATAATATAAACTTAAATATGTATATACAATGTATCTATCTTGTAAAAGAGTAGTTCAAATGGGTTCAATAGCACTTAACTCCTCAGTCTTAATTCTTCAAATGTGGCTGAAGACTTTTCTTCCCACAGTGGTTAGAAATAGACACTTAAGAATTTCACATTACCTTGTGTGCAATAAATCATGGTTTACACACTCACATTCTGTAGGCTGTAGAAGACACTTACTGTTTTTTCATACTAGTTTATTTGTGACCTGAAAATTTCCTATGGGCGTTTGCTGTGCTTGGCAAAACTGGTTTGTGTCAGCATAGGGAGTTCGTGTCACACAGGTGGTAAGGGGTGCTCAGAAAGGTAGCACCAAAAAACTAAGTAGTAATCATTTGAAAATGTCACTAAACACATAGTCTCCAAAACCACTGGCTCTTAAAAACTACTGAGTTTCTGATAACTGGATACTTTTTTTTGGTAGGCTTTTTTTTTTTTTTTTTTTTTAGGAGAGGGTTTTTTCCTAGTTTAAAGCCTTTATCTTGCTTTATAATTTTTCTCAAAACCCTTATACTTGTGTTATTCAATCGTAGTTAATATTTAACCATCATAATGTTTGAATGACAGGATATATTCTCCCTAAAGTGTTACGCCTCCTGCTAGCCGAGGATCCAAGACAGTGTGAGAGAAAATCTGCACTGAGTTCCTCAGGATTCAGTTGTGGGAGATGAATGGAGGGAGATTTTGTTATGACCTGGTACATTAGCAAGGAGATGAATTGCTTGATCTGTGCAAAATCTTTTTTTATGCTCTACGTACACATCAAATTACATTGTAATTCACTTCTACCTTCAGAAAAGAACGTTACAGCGCACTAGCTCTGTCTGCTACACAGCCTGGGGTTTGCTTCTTGTCACACATATCAAGAGTTGGAAAGAGGATAATGGAAATTCCTGATATTTTATTAAGATCTGTTGCACAAACACTGTAAAGTGCTGGGACTCACAAAAGTGCAACTGGAGTTACAGGTTGTCCTTAATGATTTTTGTTTTTCCAGGTACTATTTGGGAAGGAGAGGATTTAGATATGAAAGTTGGGATGTTGCTTGAAAACTGAGGTAGCAGGTCTCCCAGGTTTTTGGAGGCAATGCAGATTACTAAGCATAACTTTCTTCATTATTCGATAATGTAAATTAGCAGGGATAAAATCTAGATTAGCAAAAACATGGGAAGTTTAAATTTAAGTAGGTGAAATGTGGTATAGCAGAGCTAAAAAAAAGAGAATTATATCAGTAGAAACCAGTTGTTCTGCAGATACTTTGAATTGCCTAGCAATTGTCAAATATTTCTGTACTGTAAAAATGCATCTCTTATTCTCTGATGTAAGATACAAAAATGTGAACTCCCTGAATTTATTACTACTCTCTTTCTAGTCAAATAATCTTTGATCTTTCAGATTTTAAAGCGCTTTCTTTCTCAAAACTGCCTTGTATGTTTCTGACTACTTGTAGCATCTTTCATCAGAAGAAAACGACCACAGTTCTTGTTACAGCCAGTCAGATAGTCAGTATGGTTCTCCTCCAAAGGGTTGGTCAGAAGAGTTGGATGAACATGGTCAAACCTTATATACCAATGACTATACTAATGAAAAGGTACTTTTTCCTTCTTCTCATCACATATTCTAAAACTTTTCCACTGCTTCGCTGTTAGAAATTCAGATTTCATTTCGGAAGTGGAAAGCGTGCCTCAGCAGTATCTCCTTTTGTTTTTAAATATGCACAAAACTAGCAACTGAACTGATTTTTTTCTTGTGTATTTTCTTAACTGTTTAGAAAAACTTCATTTATTTCCAGTTGAGTATCAGATTATATTAAATGTACCATGTATCTTTTTTTATTTTTTTTAAAAAAATAATTTCTGCCCTCCTCCACCCTCTTGGTTACACTTCAGTAATGAACTTCATAGCAATATAATATTTTTCTTATTTTCTTCTAAGAGGTGTTCTTGTCTACACAGGCCTTCCAGTTAGGATGGTTTCAAACTGAAAATAATGCTGCTTTATCAATTTCATCCTTCACTAGGGATTTTTCAGTACTGCTTTCACATGTAGACAAACTTCTTAATTAACTACAACTGTATCAGCAGATTTAGGTTCTATTCTAATTATCTAATTGCTACTGACAATTTATGGTGATTCTGGGCACTTCATGGAAGCTTTTCCCGTGTAGGACAAATAGCAGTATTTGTATTTATGAAGCAGTCTTTTTAAAAATTGTTCATTAAAGTTGCATTTTGTCCTTTTAACTGCAGAAACTATTCATTGAAATGGTAGTTTCCTTATTGTTTTATAGCACCTCCTCTTCTTCAGTTGATATATACAATTTTTTTTTTTAAAGAAGTTTTTAAAGAGTTTTACATCAGTTTTGGAATTTTATCTTGCTTAATCTATTTCTGTTAAACATCTGTAGAGCACATACCTGTGTTCTGGCAAGTATGCACTATTTTTTTAACTACACTGGGATTGATAGGAAAAAGTGTTTCCTATCACAGACAATTTATTGGAAGGCAATCTTGTGAAACTTGCTTGACCCAAGAGTCTTGCTGTGAGTGTTTTTGTGCATATTTTTGTGTGATCTTGTAGATTCTTGCTCATTACAGTTCTTTCCTTTCTGTGTAACTAGTCACAGTTGTCATAGTTTCACTTCTTTGCCTGTGGGAGTTGGTTATAGAGGTTACAGAAATTACATTATCTTCTTCATAATTTGTTTAGGAGTTTTATCTCATGTTCCTGTTGATGTTTTTAAAACAGAGTTGTTCAACAAGTGCAATTATCTCTTCAGTTATCAGCAGTTGATGGTTAAGCTTTTTGTAATTCTGTAATTATATGTCTAAAATCCTTACACAGATCTAATGCGAAGATTGTGCTTCCTTAAACTGACAATGTAATGTTAATAGAGTGAGATATGCGACCTTAACAAATACCTATTTATCTCAGTCTCTTGTGAGATATTGCAGAGCTATTTTTTGAGGAGTTACAGAAGGAAAAAAGTAGTGCTGAATCCAACTCGGGAAGCTGGAAACTGTGTTGCTGTCATCGCTAACTAGCCTTGCTTAGTTAATGGAAGTTGTGGGCTAGACACTGCTGAAATGGATGGCACTTCATTAAAAATTAACTTTAAATCCCATGTATCAGAGATTTACTGTGTTACTACTGTCGCTCTGATTAAATTTCCTGTCATCACATTTCTTTCTACAGTGGATAAAACATGCAGATGAACAAGGTAGACCGTACTACTACAGCGCTGATGGTTCCCGATCCGAATGGGAGTTACCTAAGGTGAGTGACCTAAAAAAGAAGCTTAGATAACTTCAAGCTTTCCTCTCTTCCTTAATAAAGGTTCTATGGGGTCTTTAATGGGACTTATTCACAACAGCAGGATTTATATATATTGTACTTGCTTATTTTGTGCATTTTTGTGGAATTTCTGGTTGTGAAGAGAAAAAAATATACTCAAGGATATGAAAAACAGATGTATGTGACTTCAGATGTCAAAGAAGATCTTGTATCTTTTGCTGAGCTGAGCTTTTCATGCAAGGCTGCAGAATGTCTGTGATTTTGTTGCAATGAAGAAAACCTTTATAGGAATTGGTTTTTTTTTTAATATGAAATTTTCCTGAGACACTAGTCTGTTTTAGTACCATCCAAAATGCTTATACAGACAGGTGTTGAAGTTTCAGCAGTGTTTGTGGTATTTCTGAGGACAACACGAGTACTGTGTCCAGTTTTCGTCACCACAGTATAAGAAGGACATCGAGGTGCTGGAGCGGGTGCAGAGAAAGGCAACAAGGCTTGTGAGAGGTCTGGAAAACATGCCCTATGAAGAGCAGCTGAGGGAACTGGGTTTGTTTAGTCTGGAGGAGGCTGATAGGAGACCTTATTGCCCTCTACAACTACCTAAAAGGAGGCTGTAGTGAGGCTGGTGCTGGTCTCTTCTCTCTAATTACTAATGACAGGACAAGGGGAAATGGCCTCAAGTTGTGTCAGGGTAAGTTTAGATTGGATATTCGGAGGAAGTTCTTTACTGAACGAGTGGTGAGGCACTGGAACAGGCTGCCCAGGGAGGTGGTGGAGTCACCAACCCTGGAGGTGTTTAAAAAAAAAAGTAGATCTAGCACTTGAGGCTGTGGTGTAGTGGTTAGGTATGCTGGGATGAAGGTTGGACTAGATGATCTTCAGAGGTCCCTTCCAACCCCTAACATTCTGTGATTCTGTGAACACAGTTTCAGCAGAGGTGTGTTCTGATGTATATATTATTTTGCAATGACATAATACTTACAGGAAGGTGATAGTGCTAAGGACACTTGGTAGTCTGAAGATGTGCATAATACTGTTCAATTCCCACTTTCACTTTGAAAAACTGTAGGACCTTTGTCAATGCTGTAGTTGTGTATGTCTTTCTTGCTACTAGGTTGTTTCTTCAATCTTACATAGGAAGGTGACGATAAACCCCCCCCACACCTTTCTGTACAGTATTGGGTGCATAATTATCCGAAGAACATGTTTATCAATTATTGTTTCATTAGTCCAAAAAACTGGTGTCCTAAGTAACTTCCACTTCAGAAGGAGCAACCTTAACAGAAGTGCTTGCATATTATTTGTGAGAAAATATTTACACTGAGATTTTTCAATGAGGATATATACTGGACTGTTTTGTTATGTCAGTAAAAGAATTTTGTCTGAGTCACTGCAGGGTTGAGCTAGCTTTTTGAATATTGGTCTGATGTGTTAGATAACTTCTGCAAGTATTGGTTTTAAAAGCTACTTAGCTGTTGATTAGGTGTTAGATTAATTAGAAATCTGAAAATTTACTAGACTAGATTTTAACAGAAGCAGTTGCTAGTTCAGTATGTATAACGAAGTTAATTCTGGGAAGTAACTGCTTGGGTACTTCATTCTACGATTTCTGCAATTCTGAAGGTTTTGACTGTGAACAAGTTGCTTTCCACTAAAATAGATTGGATTTGATTTTAAACTAAATATCAAATTAAGTTGACTTTAATCCAACTACAACAAGTCATAAAGATAATCCAAAACTGTTACCTGATATATATTAACATAGAGGAGTAGGATCTGCCATTTGTGTGTAGGTGCTTGATATCTAGGTGTTTCTAAACAAGCATCTAAGCTCTGTTGTATTAGCAGCCACTTGCAGAATGAAACATGGCCTCTGCTTTGGAGTTTTTGATCATATACACAAGAACTACAGTGTACCAGAAAAAGAACCCATGTATTCCAAGAAATCCGTAGTTTTTAACTTTAAATCCTGTGGAATAGATATAATATTTCAGCAAAATATTTAGCTACTTTATGTAGCTATTTATCTGAAAAATGTACAGTGGAGACGTTACACTTGTGAGCGATTGAAGATTAGTCTCAAATCTTACTGAAGCTGCTTCCAAAAGTGCTTACGAACAAATGTATTGGAAAGACAATACAGACTGCAGAACAGCTTTGAAGAAAAATAATGTGTATTGAAAACTGTCCCATTAGAGAAAATCATAGAAGGGCTTGAGCATTGTAACTCTCGCTTACATGAAAATGAAGTTACTAGGAAAAAACCCTACTTTTTGTCAGTTTCTCCCCAGTGCATTTAGTTTAAATGTTGTCTTCCCAAATTTGTTGTGAAATAAAGTGATGGAATAGCATGGTCATGTAGTGCTATTAAACCAGAAAAAGAAGGTATTCATTTTGTTAGATGGTTCGCAGTAACCTGGTCTTCATTAGAACCAAAAAGTGTCTGGAGGTTTCTGGAAGTAGCATGTTAGTTAAACTAATTCTGTAACGTGAAAAATCTTCAGTGTTACAGCATTAACTGTGAACATGAACATGCTCAAAAATAATACTTGAGTATTCTTGTACACGTGCTAAAAATGGTGAGGGTGTACATTGGGGAGGGGAGGCAGTTACAAAACAAATTACTTCAGACAGTCTTGTAGAAAGTCCTCCAGTCATATATATTTAAATAACATCTCGGAATAACTGAATGCCTCTGGCTAAAAATCATGTCTCTGATGGAGTAGCTTTGACAACTGCTGAAAAGTATAAGACTTGTGACCCAGCTTTTTGCAGTGGAAGAGAGGAACATACTTAAAAAAAGGGTAATAGTCTTTAACTGTAATTTATAGTACATCTTGTTGAGTTTTCTCCTTGCCTAGGCGTTCTGCTGTATTCCATTGTCAATCCTTGCCAATTGTAAAAAAAAACAAACCCAAACGACCAAAAAAACAAAAGCAAAGAACCAAAAACACACCACCACAACACAAAATAAATATACCTACACATACAAGTTAATTCCTGCATAGATCACTATGATAAAATATGTTTATTTCCTGTGTAGTGAATGAGTAATATCTAAATTGTGTAGAGACAGGCTACAACTCTGTTCCAGAAACGTAATTTTCTAACACAAGCTTTATAATTTAAGGAAATCAGAAATCTGTATTTGGAGGTAGGGGATGAGGGGAAATTAAACTGATCTCAGAAATGAAAGCTCTCTAATTCCTAAAGTTTAAAAAAGGTAATATTTCAAAATGACCAAAAAAAAGCGAGGAAAACAATGTAATAGATATTCAGTAAGTAGCTCAAAGGGGAAGATGAGGAAGACAACCTAAAGAAAGTTAGAGATGAATGGTCTCTCAAACTTTCAAAATGTGTTCCTAGGCTGATAGGTGGCATAACTGCAGGATGATTCGCCATCCTCTGGCTGAACTCACTGATCCAAGAGTAGACTTTGAAAGAAAATGCATATATTCTGAGCTTCTGGAGCGAACTCGTAGTTTTGTTAATATTCACTGTCTGTGATATTGCAATTACGCTTTCTTTTCTGAGAAGTTCCTGCAGCCTTAGCTCCCCTTGCTCTATGCCCAGAGGAAGGACTGAGTAGAGTACCTTCATTTTTGGCAGCCTAACAGGCCAGCAGGCTGTTTGATTTGCTCTCTGTGCATTGTCAGTGTCAAGTAGGAGTTCAGGGGCCTCCAATGTGACACTCAGGTGAATGATTTTCCTGCTGGAGACCTGAATGTTCTCAGACAGAGCATGCTGTCTGAAAAATTGCAATAAACCACCATGCAGGTAATATCAGGAAGATATTACGCAATCCTATGTAAAAATAATAAATAAAGATGAGATTATATAAATAGAGCCTGGTTGTCTTGTGATAAATTTGGCTTGTTCTGAGCTGTGCTCCTTGACTGGAGGTAACACACCATGGATGCTGGCATTCATAGTTACTGCGGGTCAGTGCACTATACAGCCTCGCTAGCAATTGTGGATCATAGAATCACAGAATGGCCTAGGCTGGAAGGGACCTTAGAGATCATTTAATCCAACCTCCTGGTCATTGGCATGGACGCCTCTCAACCAGATCAGGCAACACATGGGGACCGAACGGGGATCTTCACATTGTTATAAAATTTGGGATTGCGCGATGCGAGTTGAGACGGTCTCAGCTGATGTGAGGATCTAGTTTTTAAGGGCAAAAGTGCAAGTGATTTGACAAACCTGAGATAAGTACGAGAAGACAGTCAGATTTCTGTTTTATTTAATGCATATGTTTGTGCTTGAGAGGCCTGGTCTGGTCTTCCTCATTTGTCCTGGTGTTCGGTGGTTCCCACCCCCTGCCCCCTCCTCCCAAGTAAGATGGGGAGGTGGCAGGGAAGTGCCCCCAGCTTTTACTTGGGCAAGCAGCAGGACCTGTGGCAATCGGTGCTGACTTGGAGGTTTTCAAAGATCAGCAGCGTTAGTGATCCTAAGGGTTAGAGGGTGAAGCAGTGGATGTCCAGGGAGGCAAAGTGACCAAAGGGGGTTTAGCCAGAGCTGCCTTTCGGTCAATTGTACGCTGGAGAGCGAGCTGCTTATCCCAGTGGTCGCCCTGTCCTGTGTAGGTTCTGTTCCTTCAGTGCAGCTGACACCTCCAGGTGCTGCTGCCCAGATGTCCTATGGCAGAGAATGAGGAGTCTTCTTTCCGTAGAGGAAGAAAGGGAATAAAGTCCTTAAATACAAAATTTATTCCTTTTTATTTACATATGTTTAAGAAAAATGTGCTATCTCTTTAGTTGTTAAGAAAAACAAAAAGTGTGATGTAGGTGTTACATCTGTCACGGCACCAGAAAAGTTTATTCAAAGCTGATGATAGTAGTAGCGCTGACTGAACAGTGGTTTTGTTTTGAGGCAATATATTTTTTAAAAAAAAAATCTTTGATTTCAGACAGTCTGTTGGGACAGCTGCAAATACTGTAGTAGCCTGTATAAAGCACTAAATGGCACTAACAGAATATTTTAAAATGCTACTGTTTTGATCCCTGATTGCAAGAAGGGAGAGTAAAATGCTTAAGTTTAGGTCTTTCCTAACTTTGACTGTCGCTTCCCACTCTTTTCTCCCTCCCTCCACCCACCCAGTTCCTTTCATCTGGCTGAGGATGTTAAGGCAAACCAAGAAGAATCTTTTTTCTGTTTCTTAAAGCTGACAGATCTGTGTCATCTCTCTAAGAATGGGGACAAGTGCTACAAATAACTCGGAGTTGTTACATTCATTTCAGTCACAATTAGGCTAGGACAGAGCCTTAAGCCATGCCACGTATCAGGTTAAAATTAAATATAAATCGCTTGGCCAGTTGAGAGGGTTAGAAAATTTTGTAACAAAAGAAAGCTTTTAAATAGCTGGTGAAGGCATTGAACAAATTCAGCAATGAAAATAACCCTGTGTGACCTAAATTTACATCACTGGTGTCCTTAACCTGTGCCAAGAGCTGTTACAACAAGGCTACTAGCTCTGGCTTCTTGTCCCTAGACAGTTGACTCTACTTAATCTAGCGAATGGCTGATTCAGTTGGATAATGCAGAGTCTGAAAAAGTATCTGTATCTCACCAAGTCTCTTGGGAGATCACAGAACAATCCATTCATTTTGAAAGAAGAGACTTGTCTTGAGTCCAGAAATACATCAGCTTTTTCTTTTTTTTTTTTTTGTTTTTTCCCCCCACTTAGTAGTGTGTTTTACATGTAACAAACAAACAAAAAGAACTCCATAAACACCTGAGTGAAAAATGTTTACTTATTGCCTCTATTGTGAGAAAATGGGGCAAGAATGTCAGATGTTCCTGGTAAAGACTTGTCAGTTTACTAGCACTTGTTTGTATCACCGATGCCAATTATTTAAGGTGCTAAAATGCGTATAGCTCAGTGTTCCCAAGTTGTTAGCAGTGCTTTGTTAATGAGCTCCAGGTACTGTTGCTTTGCTTTTTCATTAAATATGTTTTGTAAGTGTTAGATTTCTTATTATTGTCCAGGTCCTCTCACCTTCAAGATAGGGTTGCATGCTAGGGAAGTTAACTCCTGATGGCCTGTGGTGGTATCAAAGGCACCTTTTAAGTATCACCTATAATTAAGCTTATGCCCATATCCTAAGTCTTAACAGAGACTTTACTTAAAACAGTCAAAGACTTAAAGTAATTTATCTTTAATTTCTTCAAGTTACTCAAATGGAAAGTACATAGAGGATTTCCATAAATAATATTCACTGGTGCCATTGAAGCATAAATCTATTTCTGAAGTAAACGGTTCTGTTTCGTAGCAAGAAATATGTTTGAATTGCCTGAGACTGCTACAAGAAATGTTTGTGGTGCCCTGCTGTGATTTAGGCATATCTTTGCTGAAAATTGTTTAGATTTTAATTGCAATAAGGGAGGGCAATTCTGCTACATATTGCTTAGCTTGCTGCCATAATGTGAGTTGTAGGAACATCTACAGCGTGGATATTTCTGTAATGAGAAAGTAAGCTAGCATTAGATTTCTTGCAGCAGATTTAATGGAACCAGGGGATGACCTGAGAGTTGCTTAAACCTCCACGTTGTGAGGAGTCAGTTGTCACGTGAGGTAAATGTGCTGAACCCAATACAAAGTCAGTGCCATGTCAGAAGTGACAACCAGCACAATTCTTTCTGGACATGAACTACCATATTTCAGTCTTGGTACTGCAAATTTTTCCCTGGGAGTATTTTACTACTCTTCAGCGCATTGAAATAATTTAATGGAACACCAAGGTTATTTACCTTTTAAGCATCTATTGAGTTAGTGGAACATCATTCTGTTCATAGTAAAGTAAGAAAGCTGACACAAGCACATGAATGATAAGTGTAACTATGTTACACAATTTAGCTTAAATTTAGCCCTTATTTAGGTTAAACTTTGCCATATTTTGTTGTCATGTGTAGATACAGGTTGTTCTTTCTGTGAAGACCTCTAAGGTTATGGTAGGAATAAGCAACAAAAATGTAGAATTTGGTGTGCTTGCAAAGATTATTGCTTTAGCCATTTCGAATTAAAAGGGCACTTGACTTTCCTTTGTTACTTGTTACCCAGTGGATTCTAGTCCTTTATGTGACTCTGCAAATGCTACCTTATGTTCCTTTCTGTGTGCACATTTTAGCCTTGTGACGCTGAATAGGAAGAATGGGATTTGTAATGACTTTAAAAAACATACTTTGACGTTATCTTTTCTTGTTGTGTTCTTGGTATTCAACTTTGAAATATTTTTATAATTACTTTGATTTATTTTTGATGATTTAAAATGTCAATGCTACTAATGATAAGTATGGTGCAGTAGTGAGATCTAATTAAATTCTGGGTCCTCCTCATGACCTTCACATTTTCTCAGACTGTACATTTTTGGATGCTCTTGAGTTATTAGAAAACCTATGTTATTAAAAATCCATTCTCTCCTTGGCTATTACAGCTCTACTAGTCTGAAAATAATTTCCTGCTAAATATTTACTTTCTGTGTTTATGTACATTCCACACTAGAAAATCCTTTGAGTAATTTGATGTGATTATTCTGAAAAAGCAAGTCCTCACCCTCGTGTCTCCTCTCCCAAACCTCTGAGTCAAAGAGAAACACATCCAGGCAATCGTAACCCTCAGTGTAAATATCTACTGCAGGGTAATAGGGGTTTCCTTTGCTTACACAGGAGCGGGACAAGTGGTATATAATACTGTCAGCGCAATACGAAGAGTGAATGTTTAAGTCTTGTGTTTATTCTGATTCCTTGAGAGTTCTCAGTATGCTGGTTGGTTGCAAAACCAGCAGTAATTTATTGCACAAGAAATCAAACCTCTCTCTGCCAATAGAGAGCATTAGCCCAATGGACCAGGCCTTGGGGAGGACTACGACAGAAAGCACAGTTCTGAAGACTAAATGCAAAATAAAAGAAAAACTATTTTCACACTCTTGGTCAACATCAGGATTCTTAAAGTTTGCGCCACTCGGGCATGTGAGTGGTGTGTCCAAGTCTTCTTTGCGTGAATTAGGTTTTACTTATAGTTTGATTTTTCTCTTCTTTAGTACAATGCTTCACCACAGCAGCAGAGAGATATAATAAAGAGTAGGAGTCTGGACAGGAGGCTACAAGAACCAATAGTTTTAACAAAGTGGAGGCACAGCACAATTGTGTTGGACACCAACGATAAGGTAGGAGCAAGTTAAACAGTGTGCTGGGGTACCAGCTGTTTCTGATGTACAAAGTATTTTATCTAACAGCAAATAAGTGTGCATGGATTTCTGAAATCTCATTTTTCTTATGTTCTATTGTATCATTGTTATAACTCTGAGTGAACCCAAAGACTACTCTATAACTTTGCTACTGTTACCTTGCGAGTAGCAGCTCTTCTCTTGTTATCCTTGAAGTGTTTTAACTAGTATTAGTTCAGGGGTTGGGGTGTACAGGCATTTTAGTTAAAATTGGGAATGTCCCAGTTTGGTTTAGGCTTTGGAGTGTAATTAGGGTTTGAATTAAAGAATTATTGATGTCGGTGAAGTTCTTATGTAAGGTATGGTGGTATTTCACTCTCAAATTTTTTAACTGTAGTAATACACTTGAAAGATTGCAGATGAGTAATTGAAATATTAATAGAATTACAAATAGTGTTTGCTAAAGCAAAAACTATGCCTTAAATCCACTGTATGATATTACTATTTACATCTTTATCCCTTTAATGACTGTTCCATTGTAATATCCACTGTAATATCTCAAGGAAAGAAGAAAAGTTACGTGTGGTTACAGCAGGGCTGCAGTATTGTTATTGAAGGACAGAGGACAGCACTGAAAGTGCCGAAATGCTTGGCTTTCATCCTGTCCGGAGCTGAGCTGGGTGTTTAGTCTCAAAGAGCTGTAGGTCAAGTGACAACAAAAGCTGTTTTCTGTCCTTTCTTATGTTCTTTCTGGTGTTGTATGTCTTTCTGTTTTGGTATGTTCTTTCTGTTTTGGGCTGTACACTAACAGATGCTGTTGGGGCCAAAAAGGAGACTGAGCATCTCCCTTGTTTTCCTTCTGCCTGTCTCTCCAGTTTGATTTTTGTCACAGCCATTTCCGCTTGTGCTGGGGCGTTCTGCCCATGAGCGAAGAGAGTTGCTGTGAGCTGGGCAGGGAGGAACTGAAAGGGATGATGTAGGGTGGTGGCTTGCTGTTTTCTCTAACTTTGCAGCAGTGCATCCCAGGATTCATGGAAACGGAAACACTTTCATGCTGAAACCTTAGTGCAGACTATTTAGAGTAAGACACCAGGAAATGGCATTGTAAGTTCCCTTTTTCTACTGATACAGGGAAAAATAATATCAATGTAGATTTGGGAGTATGAAGAAAAGACTTTAAGGGAGCCCGTGTAAAGTGTCAAAGACAAACTTAACTGGGCAAAACACAGTAGCTGTAATTCTGCTGCCCAGAAAGTTATTTGCTTGACTTGTTGCTTCCAGTACATTTTAATGGCTCTTCGTGATGAAACAGAGTATAGGAGAGCGGGTTGTCATGAGTTGACTTAGTTCCTCAGAACAGAATTTATTGGATTTGATCTTAAGCTTTTGAGCTGTCAGAATATATTGTATGTGGCGCTGAGGAGCCAGTGGACCGTGCTTGGCTGGAGACTTTGCACCTGTATGTGTTCGTTTAGCTCGAGCAATTCTGAGGTCCCTCTACAGCTCCTTTCCCCTCCCTGGTCCTCCTTACGCATCATTCTGTACTGAGGGCGTTGTGGCACTGTGTGAGGGACTGAAAAATTCTGTTGGAGACAGCTTAAAGGTTTGGCTTTTAAAGGAAGACTCACTTTTTTTTTGGCGTAAGATCTGCTTTGGATTTGGAATAACCCTTATGTAGCGCTGCACAGAACGAAGAACCTCTTGTAAAACATGGAATAGTGGAACTGTTTACTTTTCTTCAAGATCCAACGTTCAAACATCATGACCTTAAACCTAGTGAAGCAGACGTCAAAGTGTACAGATACCTTGTGTAATAACTGAAAGAAATTATATACATGAGCCACACTTGTGAAATCTTAAGTCAGTAGCTTGAAGTTCCTTTAGCAGCTTCAAAACAAAGAGCATGCATTTTTTAAATGGTAAGGAGAATATATAGTTCATAGAAAGCGCAATGTTAATGCTACAAGAAAATTAAAAGTGTGTGATAGAGCAATAAACTAGGGGTTTGTGGAAGGACAAAGTTTTAGTGCATTGATGCACACATTTTATTACTGCTGGCAGGCACACGGCTATATATTCTGCTTTAAATTAATACATGAAAAGGGAATATAGCTCATGACCACTAATACTGTTTTTTCTTGTTCCAGAATTGCTCAGTATATGAAAGCTATCTTAAATTCAGGATTGAGTAGAAAGAAGAACTGGTGTTTGTTTGGATAGGCACATCAACCCCAAGTTAGATTTTTAACTGACTCTCAGGGAAGCTATTTTCTTTTTTTGTTGTTTGTTTTTCCTGGAAAAAGGACACAATGCAGTTCTGTGAAAATAGGCCAATCAAAAAGTGCTTGAAATGTGTCAGAGTGAAAGTATGGGTTACCATGGCTGACAAGAATTTGATGGTATCAGATGTACTTGTTAACTGTTTATTGGCTGTGGCATGTATCTGTATGTAGCCATCAGCTAAAAAGTTTGGTAAGCAGAGGAAAAATACCTTCCTGGGAGGCACAATGTTGATTTCCTTGTCTTCCTCCTGCCCCAAATCTGAAAATATGTAACATATAGGCTGGTGTTAGGATTGCTCATGTCCTCTGTTGTCACGCTAGTGAAAGAGCCAGTGGGCCGCTTGTGCTGGTGGATTTACAAGTGAATTTTAAAGCGTGGCTGTGCAGAGTGTTATGTAATGTTGGAAAAGCAAACTGAATTTGGGAGAACATCAAGGGAATTTAAAAGGAGGGGAAGAAAAGTCACTTGCTCTCTGTTACTGCTAATGTGTTTTTCTTCTGTTTGAAATACTTTACCAGATTTTTCAAGCAGTGTATTAGTACAAAGCAACCATTACTTCAAAGGAAATTCATATGCTTTTTGTTTTGCTTTTTTAATTTTTTTTTATTATAGATGGCAAATTTTTCTAGTTTTCAGAAATGTAGTACTTTCTTTTGGTCCATGCTTAATGGCTGGTTTAAAAAAAAAATAACCCTGAATCTCTAGAAATTTTCAGCGCTTGATTATAAGGAAATTAATGATTATGATTCACAAAAATTAAGTCTGGTATATGCTTTTCTACAAGTATAACAATTTGTTCTACTAATATTTTATTGACTAGCCACACAGAGGCATAATATATTCTTTAAAATATTGGTGTTTATATTGTGCACTGTAATAAGATAGTATTATAAATGTGCTTCATAATTTGATAGCAATGTCATACAAAAAAATCTACCCCTTAATAAGGATGAAATCTTTGCTTTAAGCTGATACAGTATGCATTAACATTTTTTTCAAATGGATATGTGCTAATTAACCTAGTTTGAGTGTTGTCTGTAAATAATGTAAAAGTACTGTTTAGTGAATAGGGGTTTATAATATAATTATCCAAGAATATAATGAATACTTTAAAAAGTGCATTTTTTTGGTAGCGTATGAGTGTGTGTCTAAAGAAAAAGAGCATATTTATGGTTAAAAAAAAAAGTAATTGTAAGGAATATAATAACTTATGTTGTCTATTTGAATTTTATAGGAATCATCAACTGCTTCTAGGGCCAGTTTTCCTGAAAATGAGTCCTCTCCTTCTTCACCAAAGCATCAAGCCACAGTCAGTATGCAAAGTCTTTAAATAGATAAGTAGATGTTGTAGAAACTGAGCTAGTCATTAGAGAACTGAGGGTAAGGCTGATACTGAGGAAAAAAAAAGGGATAAAACTATTTGAAGGCATTATATTTTAAAAGGAATGCATTACACCCAACTGCACTTTCAGAAAAAATGTGAATGCTGTTGGTTTAAATACAGCTTGATAATAGTAGATTAAGTTAAAATTTCACTATGGAATAAAGCTACGGCAGTTTACTTCCTCAAACAGTCATGTCTTCTTACCTGGCAACTTGGAAGGTAAAAGCAGAAATAATTTTTAAAAAAATGAAGGTTATTTTGGGTTTATTTTTTTAAATTTTGGAAATGTACTAAAGTGGTATTGAAATATGTGCCTTAATCAATTTTAGCCCTTTAGTTGGTAGCTTAGGGCATTAAAGGTGCAATGTCTTCTGTTTCGTTCTTACTCTATGCAGAGAAATGATTCTCTGGCTTATTTGTGCCATCCGTTCTTATGACTCTTCAAACAGTTTTCTCCAATCAAATAACCATTGTTTATTAAGTAAATGTAGTTGATAGCCTTACACACAATCAATCATTTCTGCATGTATTCTGATTTCTTTAAATACAGCTCCAATCTTGAATTAGTAAAATCGATTTTTATATAAGAAGTTGCTGCTGCTTTAGATAATAGAAAAAAATAATCTGTATTTTCTTTAGCTCGCTCCTGGGTTTTAGATATTACAAACAAAGCTGGTGATTTTTTTTTTTTGTGCATTTTCATCCTTAACTTGCTTTGTACTTCCTTTCCCCTGATTACATTAATTTTCCCATTAGTACCCCCTAGTGTTGCTGCTAAGTAGGGCATTATGATACTTTATCTCAAGAATTCCTCTTTGGAGCATTCCCACCGGTTCCACCATGAGTAATTTAATGAAACCATAATTTAAGGGAAAGTGGGTGTGAGTTGCTCAGCCATTGTGAAGGTTTTTCGAAGGGTGCCGTGTGTAGGCCTCTTAGTCGTGGTCTGCGTGAAGCACAAAGTGATCTAAAGAACACAGGCTATTTGGGGGACTACTTTTTTCTATTGAAAGTATCAGTTTTGGAAAATAATGTTTATATTATTTCTGGGGAAAGTGCTGCAGCCCAATGGAGATAAGAGAGTAGGAGCAGCAGTTACCATTGGACTGACGTAACATAAATACTCTCATCCTTGAAAACATGCCTTTTATTGTAATTTATGTGCTGTGCTTGAAGCATCTAGGCAGAATTTTTGAGGTTCATGGAAGGCAAATCTATGGTTTTGGTAAGAGTGCTGTTACAGCATTCCAGCAAAAAAAAATAAAAAAAATCAGTATTGTATTCTGTAGTTATGGTCCACTGAAGTTGGAGATTGAGAGGAGAATGCTCAACAGAATATATCTTTTCTTTTCACTGGATGTAGAATTGAGGACATTTTTGTTAGGATAAAACTAATTTGGATCCTTTCCCTAGTTGATTATTTCAACTGATAGCTTAATCCTTAAATTAGGAACTGTTACTAAAAAAGAATTGATTAAAAAAAAATTAACATTCCTTTAGCATCATTGACTGCTAGGACAAAGCTGTGGGGGTAACAGGTGAAAATTACAAAACTTGCTACCTCATCTTGAGAGTCACAAATGACATAGATCAATGTTTTTCCTTTTTATCTTAGAATGTTTTTTCATTCCTTTATATTTTACTGATTTTCACATAGGAACTGCAAATATTCGTAACTTGCAAACGCCCTTCTTGTTCAGCAGTGTTCTTTTTCCACTGTTCGCTGACTGATCTCCAAATTTGTACAGAGGCATACTAATATATGTGATTTTCATCAACAAGACCTAATGAAGTAGTTTTAAATTCTAACATTTTGCTTAGGGATAGGAAGAATAGAACATGAAAGAAATGTTTCACTCATCCGGTTTTGAAATTAATATGTTAACATTTTTATGCTTTTTAAACAATTTTTATTTAAAATATGCAATTATGTCAAAATAACTTGGAATTATTTTGTCAGAGCATTTAGGCTGTTTGTCAAGCCATCGTTTTTAGCAAAGGAGACAAAGATAAACCTGCTATTACACAAATCATAATAAATTTATGTTTAAAATTTCCACTTTCTAGTATCACAAATGATTTGGTTTGGCTTTTCTGAAGAACCTAGGCCTTGAAGAAGGAAAACTTTTAACCCTCTGAATGGTAAATCGTACTTTCCCAGAGGAATTTTCATTTTGTTGATCTCTACATGTTTAAATACACTTAAGACAGTTTTTTGAAGTTAGAACATGGGCAAAGATGGCTCATCCCCAAAAATTTAATTCAGTGTTTTGTTTGAATTCAGTGTTTTGATGGCAACAGAAGCAGATATTTTTATATTTATGTCTTACTCTATCTTACAGGGTCAAGAGAAGTATGGATTACTGAATGTGACAAAAATTACAGAAAATGGGAAGAAAGTTCGGTACGTCTTGAGCTTCTAGAAGTGCATGTGCATACGGGTTTGTGTAATGAATCTGATTTTTATATTAGGAGAGCATCCAAGGGTTTTGCAGTTCATTACATTTTGTCTAAATTGAACCCCAACAGAGGTTGGAAGGAACCTTGAAAGATCACCTAGTCCAGCCCCCCTGCCAGAGCAGGATCACCTACAGTAGGTCACACAGGAATGCGTCCAGGCGGGTTTTGAATGTCTCCAGAGAAGGAGACTCCACACCCTCCCTGGGCAGCCTGTGCCAGGGCTCTGTCACCCTCACAGTAAAGAAGTTTTTCCTGATGTTTTTGTGGAACCTCTTATGCTCCAGCTTGTACCCGTTGCCCCTTGTCCTGTCATTGGACATCAGTGAGAAGAGCCTGGCACCGTCCTCCTGACACTCCCCCTTGACATATTTATAAACATTAATGAGGTCACCCCTCAGCCTCCTCTTCTTCAAGCTAAAGAGACCCAGCTACTTCAGCCTTTCCTCCGAAGGGAGATGTTCCACTCCCTTCATCATTGTTGTGGCTCTGTGCTGGCCTTCTTGAACTGAGGGGTGATGACATATGTTTCTTCCAGTGAGCTCAAGAAGATGGACTTGAGAGAGAGCCAGAGGCTTCTCCGGTGTTAAATACTGCATAAGTGTGGTGCATCCTCAGGTTTAATTTAGGTTTACTTTTTACTATTTCTACTTTTTAAAAAATTTAATCTTTTAGGTCTAATACTGTGTTCTATCTAGTTCAGCATTCCTCAGACTTTTGATGTGTGAAGCATGCTTTTCCTGAAGATTGAATAGTCAGCACCCAGCTGATATTCCACAGCCACCCTGACCTAGTGCAGCGCAGCTGGGCAGCACAGCTGACCTCCAGTTTGATTCTTCAGAGCTGCTCCTAAGAGCTTGGTAGAAAAGGGTGAGCAGTGACTCACATGAGCTGCTGCTGGTACAGCACACTCGCACCATTTCTCTTTCCTCTGTTGGAATCATTGATCTGGATTATTGTGCTGCTGTACAGAAAGAGGCAACGTGGCCATCCTACCCCTTTGAGAGCTGTTGGATAATAATTCATGTTTGGGCAATGGGAATAGATTGTCAGGGCTTGTCAAGCCTTTTATTTTTTTTATAACATCAGGAGGACAGGTACTTGGGCATAAAAGCAAATAATCAGACAGCTGGAACAACTAATTTGTTCTTTTTCTGCATTTTTTAGCTGTGTAGCAAAGATTTTATTGCAGTGTAAATGAGCCTATTACATAAGCGTGGTACACTTGTATCCCAGTTAGATGCGATCAATCAGCTTCAGAATTATGCAGTACTTTGGCATAGCCTACTAAGTACACAGTAGGCTGAGTGTTCCAGATTAGCCCCTTTGAAATTGTAATTATATGGTATTTCTGCTGGTGAACTGCTTCCACTACTAATTAGCTTTGTTTGATTTAGACTTTGACGGTCAGGCTGGGACCGTTAGCATATGTTCCCTTCCACAAATATGACAGCAATTACGACTTACTGATGGCTCTAATGACCGTATATATGGTTAAGTATATTAGCATAAAGGTCAGCTGGGCAACAATGATTGACAGTTTAAACATCTACTTTCAAAGTGAATTTATCTTACGTTTGTTTACAAATACCTACAGGAAGAATTGGATGTCATCATGGGCAGTGTTACAAGGCTCCTCGCTGCTGTTCACTAAAACCCAAGGAAGTGGAACTGGCTGGGTAAGCTCAGGAATATTGCCCACCCTCGTTTAAGTGTTAATAACATAAAGCACAGAAAAAGTAAACCTCTTGTATTTGTCGGGCTTAAGTACTGATATGTGTGTATAATGTAGAACTAGCAGGAAAATAAATAGCTTAATGTAAGAATCATGATGGAGAACGAGAAGAAAAACAGTTGTGCTTGCATTTCAGAAACTTTTTTTTTTTGTATTTGATAACGAAGAAACTGATAACAAGGTGCCCTGTAACCTTGAAGTTTTTGCTCCACGCTGACTATTTTTGGGTTCCTAACTAATGTATTTCTCTAAGCAGTTTTGTCTGTTTTACTGTTCTTGAATATTTTTTAAAAAATTCTAGGTAATTTTGAATGTGATAATGCAATAAAGAAAATAGTCTGACACTTTTCTTGTTGTGTTGGACTATTTGAATGTTCTGTTGTCTTATTGTTTGCTATCTGCCTTGCTGGATTCCGTGTTTTGTTTTATATCTGCCTAGTGCATGACAAGTATCTGTATCTATTTTGATGTCTCATGAAGACCTAGAGAGAAGCATCACACTGAAGATGATGATTATTCAATTTTTATGTCACCTCTAGCATAATACCTAAATTGTCTATTGTCTGTCTAGCTGCATTCCAACATTAATAGTTATAGAAGTTATTCTTTATCTACAACTTACTTACCTGTTTTTGGAGGTCTGGCATTAAATTGTGTGGATCTCTCAGATTCAGTATTTGTTATTCCAGTGTATTATCTTGAGAATTCCAGCAAAATTGCATCTTACAGATATATGCTGGCTTGCTGTGCTTTGCTAAGCTTTTTACTTGGCTCGCTTTCTCCTTCTATTCTAAAGGACTGAGCTCATTTCAGAGCTGTAAATATAATTTTTCTTTGCCCTTCTGTTTGTTGTAGAAGGGGTGGTTGGTAAAAAATGAGTGAGGATGGATATATAAAAGCATTTGGGGTAGAATAGAATGGGAAGAGAAAAGTTGATCAAGATGGTCAAGCAGAAGGAAAAGAGAAGGGAAGGAAAAAGAATAAAGATTAAAGGCATGAGATGAGGTGAATTATGCTGTCTGGGTAGGAAGTGGATTTGGTGACTTCTGCAATTTACTTTTATAGCTAAGGATCCAAAAAGCACTTTAGTTTTATAGGTATAAATATGGATGTTTGGAATGTAAAACATTTTGCCTGAGTAGCTAATCATTGATTTGATTAGCTAAATTTGATTACAGCTACTATTATTCTTAATCCAAATGTAGCTGCAGATCCAAGAAAAAATTAAAAAAAAACCCCTATATGTTGGTATCATTAAAACACATAGTGCTAAACTAAGATACTGTTTATGAATGTGTGATACTGTTACGAATGAATGTGTGTCCCAATGAGTTATCCATAACCTGCATCTCTGCTTATTGCTTAGGGGTACTACTGTAACTTGTGTTACACCTTCCAAATACAGTCATTTGGGAAAAAAAAAAGGGCATGAATTCTTTTGATAATTTAAGTGGAGCAAAAGTGTCATAGTCACAGTATTTCTGTGTGGCACTGTCAGGCGTGCGTACTGTCAAGTATTCGAGCAGGGTCAGCAAAATAAATCTCAACAGTGCAAACAGAATAAAGTGAAGCTGGTAATACTAAGGAAGAATCTCCTTCAAGGACTTTGTTGTATACCTGCATACTTGCAGTTGGCTTTGTAAAAATGTAATTAAATATTCAGCACATGCTCTTTTTGCTCTCTGCAGAATTTTTTCTGTGAGTTTTAAAGATTCTGCCTCACCTCTCAAACTTCCATCTGTGTCAATATTTTAATAAGGGTGAAGTTTGGCATATGATGAGAATTACATTTCCTCTTCATTTATGAGCAGAATATTTGTTTAGCATTTGTCTAATGATTGATATAGCCATATCATTTTTTGGTGTGCGTTGTGTTGTGACTTCATCACTTCTCTTCCTTTTTCTCATCAAGTCATTTTGCCAAGCAGGCTCAATTCCTGAGCTCTTGCTCTCGCTGCTTTCTTCTTGGAAAAATGCTCTCAGTCGTCGACCTGCTGTCACCTATGTAAACTCTGACCAAGTTTCAGCTATCACTGTATGTGTTCTTGTTGCATGCCTCTTGTCACTGTAAGGCTATTTGTCACTAACCTTGAAAGTAAATTTGAATTTTTCCAAGATTTGAGTCTTGTCCCTTCATATATAACATCTTATATATCCTGTTTGCTGTTTTCTGAAAGTCATCCACAGTGCAAATTAATACAAGTGTGCTGCAATAATACTGTAATTTTTCTAATGGAGCAAATTAGAAAGATTATCCGGTTCATCAGTGCCAGAATTATAATCTCAAATTTGCCTACTGTTTGAACCGCTAGTGTCTTGATTAATAAACAGCATGATATGGTCAAATTTTTAACAGATATTTTATGTCTAATTCTTTCTAACACAACTAATTTAGGATGTTTTTGAGGTGCCTATGATGTCTTTGATGCAATGTTGTACATGTTGGTTAATTCTAGTTGTAATTTGAGTACCTCAAAAGGTAATGTGCATTAAAAAGATGGAAGGAAGAGAGCTCAGGGATATTCTGGCTACAAGCAACATATAGAAAGCTGATGTAAATTTGTAGGACTCTCGGTACATAACTTTGGCATCTGTAGTTAGTCATGTTTTGAAGTGTAGATGCCAAGCATGGAAGTCCTACTTAGCAGAAACTGTTAAAATATTGGTACTTAATATTGCTCAATTATATGCTCATTGCTCAAGGTGGACAAGAAGGGATTTAGATGACGATGATAGTGTTAGAAGAAACAAACAGGCTTGTCTGGTTGTATAACTGGTTTTTAATATCTCTTTCTTAGCACTCTTATCAGAATCAAACTAAAGTATTTATGGAAAAAAAATATGCTGAAGACGTTAAAAGCAGTGATTTAATAATTTGGTTTCTTGAGGATTTTTAAATGGTGATACTTAAAATTATTTTGATATCTTGGCTTGTGTTTCCTGAAGACCTGGAGAGAGAGCAAGCTATGTGTTTTGGATTGAGTTAAGATTCCCAAGACTTCTAGCTTAATCTGTTAACTTTTTGTAATATGCTCAGTGTCAAGTGCAGTGGCAAATGTTCTTATCAGTCTAGCTTCAAAAAAAGATCCATTATTTTACTATGAAAATAATGAATATTTTTAGATTTATTTTTTTTAATTAAAGCTCATAGTTCTGGAGCTACCTTACCAGCCACAAAGATGCATCTGTCTCCTCAACCTTGTTTCTGCAGTCCATCCATGGGTGAGGAGGACTTGGAGTTAAAAGGTTCTACCCAGGATTATGAGAACGACAGGTGACATTTGCACATCCAAAGTCTTCCCATAAGTAACATCCAGCTCTGTTTCCAAAGAATGCTGGAATATATCACAATGCAGACTGTGTGGCTTGTCCTGTTGAGGCTTACAGGACTTGGAGAAAGTTCCTGAAAAGATTGAAAAGACCTTCTCTTTGCTGATGTCAGCACACATCTTTAATGGCAGTCCTTAAGCTACACAGCATCTACTATGTCTAAAGCAGAAAAAAACAACAACAAACCCCATTGTTTCCAAAAAGTAAAAGTTATCTCTGACATAAAACTGTTGTAAGCACATCCCCTGGCTATGCTTCTTTTTTGATTTTTTTTTTTTTTTTTCCCCCCCTATCCTAGAAAAAGCTGTCAGAAGGGACCCTTGGACTGTGTTGTGTCTAGGGACCCTTGGACTGTGTTGTGTCTAGGACAGCTGGCAGGACCCTGCACAGACCTCTCCCTTTTTCTGTCTCACACTGCTGCCTTTCCCAAATTTCCCTGAGAGGTGAAAAAGAGTAAGAGTAAAGTGCTCTAGTAAGAGCTCAATTTATCCCAACTAGTGCTGACTTGGTAGCGCTGTTTTGAGAAAGCGGACTTTGTGTCTAGGTGGCAGCAAATGCTAAAGGAAAAGGTTTTCTTGTTACTGCTCTCCACAAAACCTGCCTGTTTCAGGAGGGTTCCATTGCCTGTAGCTGACCTGCGTGTGTGGCGCATTGGAGCAGCCACCCGGAACAGGACTTGTTCCTGGAAGCTTTCAAGGAGGGAAATGGCTGCTGGCATCTTGATTTTGCACACCTAGGAACAGAAAAGAACCTGGACAGGAAAACTTATAGAAGAACCTGCATGCTAAACTTATTTCTTCAATACAGAAATTAAGTTTCTAAGGAGTATGCAGTAGATTGGTACATCAGGAGAGCTCTGCGGGGAGCCTGGATTTTTTGTATGGATTTCCCTGGTTTTGGATCTCACACAGCGATTTGGGGACTGCTTCTTGTGTGAAGGAGTGAGGGAAGATGTATTGGTTTATTTTCCCCGCTTTGAGAAATTTAGCTTTTAGTTTTTTGTTTGTTCTGTGCTTTCCTGAAACGCTGAAGGAGTCAGGCCAAAAAGATGGGTGGACTCCAAATAGGTTTGAGGTAGTACTGCAATATGTTCCAAGAGGAGTTCAGCCAGCTAACGCATTGGAGGGCTTTCTTTTTGGCCAGAACAGCAGTGACTGTTACTGTTTTTTTGGTCGTTGGTTGTTGGTTTCACTTGTAGCAGGACATCTGTGCTTCTCAGCACCATCCAAGTGATGGTTTTGTTGAATCTCCCCCCGCCATGGTTTCTACAGAGGACTTTGACTCTAGTCTCCTGCTCTTTCCAGTGCCAAACTCTATAAATTGATTTGGTTTTTTTCCCAACACAAGATTGATCTAGGCTGTCAGGAAGTGTGTGGCTGGGACACACTGGTTGTGTGTAACGCAGTTACATGAATCTCTCTTAAATAGGCAGCTGCTGCATCGCTGCCCAGAGATTTTTCTGTGGACTTCACTGCTGAGCAGGGCCTCTCACAAAATCTGTACTATAATTAATAAGAAATGTTCTTGGAGGAGGTATCTGAGAATTAAGTTAGAAACTGGAAGGCTGTGGGTTTTTTTGGGGTATGTTGTTTTATTTCCCCCCGCCAAGTGCTTGCTGGCATCCTGTATTCTGTTCACTGGTAAAATAAAGAAGTTAAGGTGCTACTATCCATTCAACAGTTAATTGCCTTTAAGATTCAAAGCGGGAAGATTTTCCAGTGGTAAACAGCCTTTCTAAAACACAGTTAGCATTAATTAACATCCATGCTGGGAATTTCATCAGAAGCAGCAGATTAGTTCTGTTTTCTGAACTGTTTTTTCTCCCCTTGGATATGACTGTTCTTGTATAGGCTGGAAACTTGTGTTCACAGCAAGGAGCTTGTCCTGGGGCTGACATCCCCTAGAGCTGTCACTTGAACAACATTTGCACATCAAAGATTTCTTAAAAAAAAAATTAAAACTGTTCTTGATGCATCAGATGCTACAAGCTTCCCCTAAAACTACAACATTAAATTTCAGTGCCACAGCCAAGTGATTCACAGGTTTCCTGGTTCTGTGTTTTACTTAGTTTATTCGCAATTAGAACTTTTTGTTTGTATGGATCACTCAATTGGTTTCCTTGAGGAATGATATTTCAAAACCGTGTGCTGTAGGTTGAGATGCTAATAAAAGTACTTTGGTTTAAAAAATTGTGATACCTAATGTAAATGTAAAAGCAATGGGTAAAAACATCATCTGGATGTTTTCCTCCACATTGTTTGGAGGATTGCTTGTGGGTTAAATGCTCTTTTTTAATCACTTGATTAGTTACTGTTTGTTTAGTTGCTAGACAGTGAAATTGCATTCTGTTTACTTGATAATATAAGATTTGGTATTGCACTAGAAGCACTGCAGAAAAATATAAAATGTGAAAAGCATTGTGGAAAATGTGTATCTGTACACACAAATTAAATATATATTACAAAAATATAAGTGCAAGTTTTTTCAGTGCAGGAGAGAGGATGTGATTGCTTTCTAGCAAAGCTACTATTTTTGGTTTGGTTTTTGGATTTTTAATTACAGACATTGATTAACTTACAGATTTTTTTAATTTTATTTTTTTGTTTAGTAACTTATTAGCCTGTTTTTCTTAAAGCTTAGGACTATCTTGACTCAAATCAAGCTACAGTCAAATAATGTGTGGACTTCTACTGTTTGTGATAGAAAAAAAAGCTCTGTGGGAATCTAGTTGGCAGTTAAAATAATGGAATTTTAAGGACTTTACGCTGAGCAGCTTTTGATAGGCATGCTTAAAGGCTGGTGTGGTTTTTTGTGTGTGGTTTTTGTTTGGTTTTTTGTTTTCCTGGTGTCATGCCTGTTGATCTGTGACAAAGTTAAGTTGTAAACTGCAAATGACACATGGTAAAGGATTGCAAGGCTCTGTACCTGTTAGGAATTTGCCTTTTTCTTTTGTTTAAGTTTGTCATCAGTGTTCCTTTTTTTCCAGAAGTTTGGTGTCAATCAGTCTAAGCCAGAATTTACAGTGGATCTCAAAGGGGCATTAATTGACTGGGCCTCAAAGGACAAATCCAGCAAGAAGAATGTCATTGAGGTGAATTATTTTATTTAAATGTGGAATTATATGTACTTTAGTTAATAACTTAAGACATTCTCTCTAAACTTAAAATAACTTGCATTTCTCAAAATTTCTTCCTATAGATGTATCTTAGTGCCTGCAAGAAATGTCCATTTTTAATATGTCTGTATTGGAAAATGTTTTTAAATTTTAAGGAGACTTATCTAAAAGTTGCGCCAGGGAGAAGTTTAATTTTATTTAGGTAATTTCACTTTCGAATTCTGGTGTGTTCATCAATTCTTACGATACCTGTTTTTATTTTTTTAAAGCTAAAAACTCGCCAAGGAACTGAGCTTTTAATTCAATCTGATAATGACAGCTTTATTAATGAATGGTATAAAGTTCTTAACTATACCATCAACAATCAGGTATGTGTTTGAATTGCAAAGGCTCTGTTTTCAAGGTAATGTTATTTAGTAAAATAATTGATGTAATGACTCCTAGTGCTTCGTGTACATTTTCATTCCCTAATTTTCTTTAATGGGCAGAAGGTGGAGAATATGGCAATTCCTGGTGATGACAAGAGACATGTAGTTAATAGAGGTAAAGGATGAAGGATGGTCCACTGGTTTTAAGAACCAGGAGATGTAGGCTGATCTCCAACTCAGAAATTAGCTTCCTTCTGTTCTCTCTCCGTGACCTGAAAGCTTCTGATATAGAGGGAGTAAAAGGGGAAAGGTAGCCAAAGGAGCGCTTCATGGCATACATTAATCAGCTTTTGTTACTGCTATTCACTTATTAAAAGTGCAAATTAAAAGCCTTGGCAAAACACTGTATTTTGTCATATCAGACAGCAAATTGTCAACTATTTAATCAATTGAAAATTAATCAAGCATTTGTTCTTCATATTGCCAAACAAGTTTTAACATCTTTGAATTTATAAGAAGCTAGAGGAGATCTTAGAGAAAATACTTCTCTGATATCAGATTGACTTCATGCCTATTCTTATTTTTATAGTTACAGGCCTGTGCTGCCCCTAAATCGGTGGCCCTCATTTCTCTTAGCTCTGATAGTGTTTTCCACTCAAACAGCAGGCTAGAATGCGTTATTTAGTTCCTTTGCTCGTTTTTTAGGCTCCGAGCCTTCTGCTCTCTCCTGATATGAAAATATCATGACCCTTAACAGCCAGGCAAGGCAGTCACTCAGTGATAGCATTCTCCTGTCTACCCTGTGTAATGTGGTTGAGGATGCTTCTTCCCTGCTTAATTGAATATAAAGATGGGAAGGCTGAAATATGCTGAGATCTTGCACATTAGGTTGAGGAGGTGAGTGGTGGAATAGGGAAAGTTTCTCAGCACTCTAGAAGAACTGGTGATATATTACTGCTGGGAGCTGGTACCCAAGAGACCTAAGATTACAAGGGAAAAGTTCAAAAAGTATGTTCATAGAATGGTTAAGGTTGGAAGAGACCTTGAAGATCATTTAGTTCCAACTCAGTTGCTGTGGGTGGGGACACCTCTCTCTCACTAGTGCAGGTTGCTCAAAGGCCCATCCAACCTGACCTTGAACAATTCCAGGGATGGGGCATCTACAGCCTCCTTAGGCAACTGGTTCCACTGCGTCACCATCCTCATGGTGAAGAATTTCTTCCCAATATCTAATTTAAATCTACCCTCTTTCAGTTGCAGGCTGTTGCCCCTTATCCTATCACTAAAGGCCCTTGTGAAAAGCCCTTCTCCAGCTTTCCTGTAGGCCCCCTTCATGTATTGGATGGCTGCTGTTAAGTGACCCCTCCCTCTCCCCCTCCCCTTCCCCTTCCCCCGCTATGTTGTCACTCTAACAGATACCAGGGTGACAAACATGAGGCTGCTTTTGTCTGTCTGTAGAGAGCCTCCTCCAATCGGTTGTGTTGGTCAAGTGGGCTGTAGCAGATGTCCATTACAACGTCACCTGCCTGTGCATTCCCTTTAATCCTGACCCGTGAGGTCTCAGTCATACCCTCATCCATCCCCACACAGAGCCCTGTGGACCCCAGCCTGTCACTGACATAAAGGGCAACACCTTCTTCCCTGCCTGTCCCTATTGAACAGCCAATATCCTTCCTTTCCCACACTCCAGTCATGGGTGTCATCCCACCATGCCTCCGTGATGCCAATGATATCGTAGCCCTGCGGGCAAGTACGTATCTCCAACTCCTCTTGCTTGCTCCTTTTACTACGTGTGTTCACGTAGAGGCGTTTTAGTTGGGGCCTCATTGCAGGTGACTTGCTGGCTGGAGATTCCTTCTCCAGCACCTCAGGTTCTCTCCCTCTGGTGTGTAATCCATCAATAGCACCTGCAGCTTTGCTGCCACATGGATCTCTCTCTCTCCTACCTCTGATGAGATGGCAGATGGAAGAATCTTGCTGGCACACTGACCCACAAACATAGATATGCTCTGCCCATGTCTCGCTCCAGTAGGACCAGTTTCATGCACTCCTCCCTTCAAATCTAGTTTAAAGCCCTCTCAACAAGCCCTGCTAGCTCTTGCACGAAGGTCCTTTTTCCCCACTGTGAAAGGTGTATTCCATCCGGTGTCACAGTGCCTGATGTCTGGGAAGTTAACCCATGGTCAAAGAATCCAAAGTCCTGCCAACCCCTCCAGGCTCGGAGCCAGGCATTGATGTGTTGGCATTTCCTGTCACGTTCTTCATCAGTGTGTGAAACTGCAGGGGTAGAGGAGAACACTACCTGTGCTTCCCATCCCCTAAGCAGTCATCCCAAGGCCGTATGTTATTAGACTACCTGACAATTCCGAGCACTGAAGCTTTGGGTGCAAAAGTCAATCAGATCTCAAGCAAACTTTTAATTTGGGGAACTTTATGGTCTCTTTCCCAGGACAGAGGTGCTAGTTCTAGTGTGGTGAGGTCTTCTCCTATTTTCTGATATGTCTTCAGTCACACATGTAGTGGAGGTATGAGACTCCAGGTGGGCAGTTTGATAGACTCTGGTATCTGCCTCCACACTACAACGTGATCTATGGTTTCATTTGACTATTTAATGAGAATATACTGAGAGAGCAGTGACAGGGCAAGAATTGTGGGCACTGGTGTATTTACTTCTTCAGAGTGAATTCAGTGTACGTTTTGACTAGTGAAATTTTCCAACTGGTAGTTCTGGTTTTTTATTACAAAAATCTTAATTACAGAGATCAGAAATGAAGTAAATGCTCTAGAAATGTTTTTTAGACTCTTACCAGTCAAGTGTTTCTATAGCAGACCATGATATAGCTGTTTTGTCTACTGGATTTGAAAAAATAGTTTCTGTTTATTGGTTGATGCAATGAAGTGTTACCCTGAAAAGCTAGTTGTACTCTGTTCAGTGTTCAGCAAGACTTTCTTTATTGGACGGTATGATCAAAGAGTGTTTCTCAGTTATTTGCTCTGCCAGTGAGAATGATATTATCTCCGAAGATAGTTTTAGCATCTAAAGTTCAGGAAAGAATGAACTGTGTATCATTATAGGGAAAAAAATGTATATTGTAGAACTGTTTACAGGAAATGTGTATTTTTAATGCTACATTCTATGAATCATCAAACTGATCATTGCATTTTGTTAAATCTAATAGGTAGTAGAGTCCGATGAAGCATTAGATGATGAGGTACCAGATTCCCCTGGGGTGGAAAAACAAGACAAAGAAAAAGAGAAAGAGAATAAAGATTCTAAGAAACTTCGTTGTGAGTTGAAAGTTTTCCATTAATTGATTTTAGTAAAGCTTATTTTTATTTTTTGCATCTTCATTATTATATGTAAATAGGGAAGAATTCAACAGGACAGGTAGAAATGAAACTACTTGAGTTTGGAAAGAGACTTTTATGTAGTTCATTCTACATCTCGGTGCCAGTTAGTATATTTTCTTCCATGTTTTATTGATCTTAAAGAAAAACAAAAAACAACCCACAAATGTCTTTAGCTCCTGCTGTATGACACGTGAAAAAGAGGGGAAAAAAGACAGCAGTGAAAAGAACTATTTTCAAGGTGTCAAATGCAGAGAAGTAATTAGACAGTCATTTTCTCTTTTATAGATGGTTTTGAATAAAAATACCTTTATCCTTGTATATGTTCAAACCTGATTAGAATTTTTTTACTTGATTATTTTTTTGTCTGTGGTACAACATCTGTAAACATTTGCACTATTAACTTAAATTGCAATTTTTTTAAGTTGCTAATGAAGCTATGAAGCTCATATAGAGAAACTAGGCATTTGTAATTACACCTTCAGAATTTTAGAACCAAATTTCTTTTGGCCACAGAGATGTCTTCCTTTGCACAGAACTATATTAATCAGGCAGATTATTTTCTGTCTTCTACTTCTAGGCCTTGTGTGTAATTTGTGAAAAAGTATTTATTTCAAAAGAATTAACTTAATGAAAGGCAAGTTTGATTTTGAAACATAGCTATATTTTCAGAATTCCACAACTAAGTTAGCAGGTAGTTAGTTTCACAGGCAATACTTGTTTTACAAGGTTTTTTTGACAGAGTTTTCTCTTGGTGATTTGAAAAAATGATGCTATTTACAAGGACATCCAAAAAAATTAAGGAAAAAAATGTGGATGCATTACAAACTTGAGTATTTTTCTAAATGGGTTTGAGTTTGCTGCTTTTTGTTGTTGTTGTTTCCCCAGTGTTGGTTCCGTGGTAGATAAATGCAGTGTTGGTTTTGTGGATGTTCATGCTAAATGCATTTCTCTTTTCAGCAGTGAAAGCACCTAGCAATATAGATTCCACAGATCAGAAAAAGACCAAAACAAAGCTCAAGAAGTTTCTAACACGGCGCCCTACGTTACAAGCTGTCCGTGAAAAAGGCTACATTAAGGGTAAATGAACCTTTTTAACAAAGGAAATAATTTGAAAAGCTGAATTAGTTCATGTGTAAAATGAGGTTAAAGTGATCTAGTTTTAGAGTAACACACGTGTATGTAACTGGTTGGATGTATGGTGGAACTGGTGATTGATTGTCGTTCTGAGCACTGCTACAAGCCACTAAACTTCGTGGAGATGCTCTCTCCTTCAGCTCATTACTTGCAAAACTGCAATGAAAATTGAGTGCACAGGAGCCCGACTGGACTTGGAGTGCTTCTTAGCTGTAGAGTCCATCTGGTCTGCTCTTCTGAGCTGGAAGCTTGCAATAGCTGATAATCCTTTGTGCATACAAGGGAGGTAACAGTCCTTTGGGTACAAAGCTGAATGCGTGTGCTCATCTGTTTCACAAGGGTGTTTAACTCTGAGTGGAACCAGACAATCATGTGCCATCTCATAAGAAATTAAATATTTAGGCAAACCAGGGTGAGGCCAAGGAGTCTTAACTTAAACAACTTTTTCCCCTGACCTTTTCTGAATGTATACGGTTTTGTAATTGTTTCACAAACAATGAGTCTGACGAATATTCCTGAATCAAACTTATGGAAGAATTTTTTTCTATTTGTCGCACTTTGTAGAAACTTTGAAAGAACAGTATTTGCACAGGTTTAAGTTAATGTGCTTTTGTAAGTTATTGACTTGGTACTCACTGTAAAACTTTATTTATTTGTATGCTTTAGTAGAACTTGTAGGTGCTGCTCTACTAGGGTAAAAGTAGCATATGAGTAGACAAATAACAGACCAAATCCTACTGTGATTTGTCTAGCTACATACTTTAACACGTGTGCTTCTGTTGCATGTGGTGTTTTATATATTTGTGTATCTGCAAATATAATCTAACTGTAAATTTTGGAATTTTTGTTTGGGATAAGAAGACATTATTCCCAGACTTTGACATTTTGCTCTGCTTTACAGCTTAGTATTCATGTCATGGCTCAGTGACGTAACTTCTGACATTAGCAACAGTGAATGCTAAGCCAAGTTTAATTTGTACACATGCATGCTGGTGATTGGATTTTTAATAAAGATGTTAAGGAATGAAGAGTTTGTTTTTATTTAAAAGCACGGTGTAAACTTTTAAAAGTTGGATCTGCGCTGTACAATTCTACATCTGCTATATGAATGAAAAATACAGAAGTCTATTTAAAAGCCCTGTGTACTTTTGTCTGTGCTACAGAACAAGTTTAGTAAATGGAAAACTTGGCAAACCCAGTATAAGCAGAAAAAATAATGAACAGTTCTAGAAAAAAAACCCCAAAAATACTTGAAACAGCATGCACTAAGCAGAAGTAACTGTGCTAAGGTTTTGTTACATGGAAAAACAAAATTACAAAAGTTACCATAAGATGAGAGATAAAAATATGATTCCTCTGTATATTGAAATTATTAAAGTTAGAGGCAATTGTAGCAAATCAGTTTATCTGCTAATGTTTTCTTGAGCTACCTAATCTGCATTGCTTTACCTGCTACAGCTGCATGCTAGCCTGACTTTCTATTGCGTGGGCTTCTTCAATCTCTTGCTTCTGATTCTGTGGATACAGCAGGCTGTGTGAGTAGCAGCAGCAGGACTGAGATGTTTTAGGTCACCAGCCTTACGTGTATGTGGCTAATAATACCATTCACACTATATAATTGGTTTGGTGCCGTTTGGATTTCCTAAAGCAGTAGTCAGCGCTGTTAATGCTTCGACTTCAATGATTACTAAACATGCAAAATGGACGAGATGCTATGCATGGTGCAAATGCAAGAGTGGTTTCCTCTCATGCGTATGCTCTAAAGTAAGATCTACTAGATGTTGCGAAGATGACTACTTTACATACCTTATTTAAATGATTAAAACCGAAACCTTTCTTCCTTTTAAGAGTGTCAGCGTTTCTTCTCTATATCGAGACCGTGTTGCAGTCGCCTGCATCTGAACAGGGGAGGGCATCTGTTATTTGGGCACCTTTGAAAACTATAGATACAGGTCTGAGAGAATACAGGTCTGAGAGATTTTGGTGATAACATAACCTGAACAAGAAGAGTTAACATTTTGCTGAAATACATGGAGACACTGTAAGAATCTGTTCTCTGCCCAAGCTGGTTTCCATTTTGGCTCTAGTTTATGATAGAAAACACTCCACTTAGACTGTGTAGTTTTGAAAGACTCAGTTACCTTTGCCAATAAAATAGCTCTATCTAGATTCCAGCCTTGCAGCTGGGTTGCCTATGCATAGTCATAGCTGCATCCATTTGGAGCTCTCTGATGTAAAGGTCTTTCATTTACAAATCCGTATCAGAGATAAAAAAATGTTAGAAGTGAAAGACTCTCAAGTAATATGTAATGCTGAATTAAAAGATAGGTGCAATGAAAAATAATGTTTTATAGGATTTTTCCCCAAGCAATGCCAAAAGCTTTCACTTTGGTTGAGTTTTATTATCTCTTCATATTTTTAACAAATATTACAGTAAATGTATTTTGACCTTAGAACAAGAATGGAGTGTAACAGGGCATTTGACTCTATTAAGTTTCTCATTACAGTAATAACTATACGACTCTCACAGGTATCTCCTGATGGATTAAAGTTATTTCAGTAGCAAAAGTTCCTTAGAGACTCCCGTTTGAGTAAGTGCTGACACTCTCTCTTAGAGGGAGCTTCTTCTTATAAGAGCTGCTGAGATCTCTTTTCAAAGCTTTCCTGTTTTCACTCTAATACTGCGACAATTGTATCCAGTAGAGGTTTGTTTTAACCTGAACTAGTTCTGTCACTTGAGTCCTGTTCCACTGTAAATCAGTCTCTTTACTTGGTTCCAGATCAAGTGTTTGGTTCCAATCTCACCAGCTTGTGTCAAAGAGAAAACAGCACGGTGCCAAAGTTCGTGAAGCTGTGCATTGAGCATGTTGAGGAACATGGTATGGCTGAAGTTTTTTGTTTCCGAATCTCTCTTACTCGCCACACTATCTAATTCTGAACGTTTTAATCCTTAAAATGCTGTAGACTTATTTGGGGAAAATAATCTGAAACTTGTGTTTGTAGGTAGCAGTAGTAGTTTTAAGAGTGGGGAGGTAAGTGGGATCCAAAGTGGGGAGGAAATCTTATATCTAAGAAATAGATTCCTTTCGGTATATTTCAAACTGAGCGACTTCTGAGGAGAGAGGTATTACAAGAAGTAACAGAACTGCTCAGCCCATCAAGGTTGGTGTTTTTCAGATGAAAAGAGAGACTGAAAACGCAACCATTCATTTTTGGGAGATTTAAGTGTGGTAACAATCATCTATATTAAAACGTCCTTGAAGCAAACTTCTGGGAAGAAGTTGTGTTCCTGCTCTGTGTATTTGTTGACCACACAAGATGTATCTGTTGGTTTGATGCCCTTCAGCCAGTTACCCCAATGGCTATGTGAAGTTTTATGCAATTCTCAAGATTATCAGTCTACACATTGACTCCATTTTTGTTTGCTTCTATTGAAAATAAGTCTCTCCAACCCAACAGCTGAGAAAATTATGCTTGAAAGCTACATGTGCCATTCTGGGTTGTCTGATATAAAGGACATTTTTGCTGAGAATACTGTGACTCCTGACTCAGCTGTAGTCTGTGCTGGTTTTCTTGCTTGTTTCTTGCTGTTGTCATTGCCCCACTTCTTGGAAAAGATGACTGAGAGGGGATTATGGAATCTCCATAATCATCATTCAGGTATATACCAGTCTGTTAATCTGAGAACGTTCTCTTGAGAATCAGGGTAAGTGTTACAGGGGAATACTACATGTGAATTTTAATGTATCTTCCATGGGAACTTCATTTAGGGTTTCGTTGCAGCCTATGGTCCTCTTTCTCAATGCTGCTTCTTATGGCCTGGGAGGGGAAAAATAACTTCTATTGCCTTACTCCAGTTCTATGAACTGTCACCTTTCTTGTTAAACAGCAGGCTTTATTCCATTTGTGATCTGCAGTTTGTGAGAAAGGGGGTTATTTTGCTTTTTTCTTGTTTTCTTTTTTTTTTTCTTCTTTATTTTAAAGACAGGACTTCAGTGAAGATAGTGGTGAAGTTTTCCTTTTTTAAATACCTGAGGGGAAGCTGACAGAAATGAACAGCTTTTTTCCCCACTTCTCCAACTCTTCTTCCTACTGCCAGTACACTTCCAATCATTTCTTTCTGTAAAGGAATGACTAGTGGATTGTGGGGAAAAGGGATATATGTCAGATGGTGCTGGTAACTGGGCTCTCTTGCATCAGACAACTCCTTGAGGAGCTCCAGGGACTTGCAGGTATTCTGGCAACACTCACCCTCTCAGTGGCACTGACTCACATGCTGCGTTCTAGTGGCGTTGCAGTTCAATTCTTTACCTTCTAGTCACTTCCGAGTAATTGCAGTAGCAATCACAGAGACACGGTTTTCTTGTTTTCTGGTTGAGTGTGCAGTACTGCAAAGACAAAGGTTACCTCGTTTTTTTTTTTTTTAGTTTTTTAGGATGTTGGGTAGTGATGAGTGTGCATGCACATCATTCTGTCTCTGTGCAAACCTGGTCACTTGATAATTTTAAGATGCTTCTCTATGCATGATTTTGGCTTGATTTTTCTTAACCATACATTAAAAAATTGAACTTCCACAAAATACTGGGTTCTTGCATGTTGAACTCCCGCATCCTCTCTGCCCACCCACCAAGAATATTTTAAATGAGACACTTAGTCCCGTTGGGGAAACTTGGAGCTGTTGCCTCATTACTGCTCTTCTACTGTGTTAGGGAGTTTTAGAGATTACTTTGAGCTTGACACTACTAAACCTGTGTCAGCAAACTAAACCACCTCTGATATATGCCCTGCCCATCAAAAAAAGATAGTTTAACTTTTGTTTTAGTTTTGTTTTTCTTTGTTGAACCAAGTGTTCTTTGTTACAAGGTGGGTTTCTTTTTAGTTTTGCTGAGTAGACCTATAAAGAAGTAGCCTAATGGTTTCAGAATTCATGTATGTTTAAGGTATTAAAATGGATGTATCCCTTTGTTTTAGGATTAGATGTTGATGGCTTGTACCGAGTTAGCGGCAATCTTGCAGTGATACAGAAGCTAAGATTTGCAGTCAATCATGGTAAGCTTCCTTTGACTGTATTACAAGTGCATAATTGCATTTCTTAATGCTTAACTGCAGTCTTTCGTGAGAAGTGATTGTCATCTTCAATGGAAAATAACTTCAGAATTGCAGAATTTAGTGTGTAATATACATCATTTGAAAAACCTAGTATCCTGGAGGTTTGGTCTTGTTTGGAGCATAGAGGCATTGGTAGAACATAGTCCTAAAGAAAAGTGCTAATAGAATTGGAATGGGAAATTATTTCAAACAGAATAACTTTGTACTTTACGGAAAAACAGTAAGCATATTAAGCTTCCACTAGCATTAAAATTCTAAGTTAGTACTTTTTAATGAGAATTACTTGGGCTGCTTAGCTCTTCTTTGCCATACGCTGGCTCTTAGAGTTTTGCTCAGTGGGAATCAATAGGTGGCTTGCAACTAGGAAGAGAACAGTAGCCCATCTGCAGTCTGACCTGTCCTGATTAACAAGGTCTAGTAGTAAATTTTGTGTTATATCAGCAGCACTCTCCTGTTACCATCTGGAAAATGCCTTTGGTGCTGGGGAGCTGCCTGCGATGCAGTAGCAGAGCTTTGCAATCTCTGTCTGCAGTGGTTTTTTGTTTCCCTGCTTATGCCGCTGCAGCTCTGTATCCCAGCAGGGAATGGGCTTAAGTGGGGTTAAGTCTTCACTGTTCTAAAAGCAATAATAGTATATAAATAATAGAATAGTATTTAAGTTCATTTTTTTAAAGTGTATTTTAAAAAAATAATTATGAATTATTCATTTTTCTCTCTCAGATGAGAAACTGGACTTGAATGACAGTAAATGGGAAGATATACATGTCATCACAGGAGCTCTAAAGATGTTTTTCAGAGAATTGCCAGAGCCGCTGTTCACTTATAATCACTTCAATGACTTTGTAAATGCAATTAGTAAGTCTGGGAAATGCGCGTGTGCTTTTCGTCTAAGCTTTGCTCAATATGTACAATTCATTAATTGTTTTGGAGAGTAAAAGAGCGTTTGGGCTCTTCTGAAAGGGACCGTCGGTAACACGTGGCATGGCCGGGAGATGGCAGTGCATCATCTCGCATCAGCACTGCCCAACCTTCCCTGTATTTCCTGCTCCGTTCAATTTTATGGCCAAGTTTTAAGCAAAAATACTGAATTTCTGTTTCTACGTCTCATCCTTTTGCAGAACAAGAACCAAGGCAGCGTGTCCATGCTGTGAAAGATTTAATCAAACAGTTGCCAAAACCAAATCAGGACACTATGCAGGTGCTGTTCAGACACCTGAAGAGGTAAGTAGCGGATAGAAAGACAGACTTTGTATTGCTGATCCTACCTCAAAGCTGAATAATGCAATTAAAAGTTCTAGATGGCGCTTCCCACGGCATTTTTCGGGCCTGTGTTGGACTCTGTGAATCAATATATAGGTCTGTATTTATACAAGCTTGGAAAGCACCAAACAGACTTCAGACGGTGTGTGTCGTAGATGTGGTGTTTAATTCCATGCCGTTATGTTCAAGGGATTGTGAGAGGATCAGGAATAGCTTTTCAAAATAAAACTTTTCCGTAGAGAGGGGAACCACAGCAGCTGTATGTCCTACAAACCGGACTACTTCTTAAATAAATACTGTGAATAGTAATTTACTTTGGACTGTCTTTTTCCCTGTCATCCTATCACTCTAACACTGGTGAGTCTCTGTGTATTTTTTTTCTCTTTCAGAGTTGTGGAAAACGGAGAAAAGAACCGAATGACCTATCAAAGCGTAGCAATAGTTTTTGGTCCAACCTTATTAAAACCAGAGAAAGAGACTGGTAACATAGCAGTCCACACTGTATACCAGAATCAGATTGTAGAGTTAATTCTACTGGAATTGAATTCCATCTTTGGACGCTGACATTTTTCTTGGAGTAGAAGCTGAAGTGATGGGTTGGCAGCAGTACTCCATCAGAAGGAAAATCTCTCACTGTACATGATGTATTATGTTTGTGGACCAAGCAGCAACTTGTTTTTTGCACTTTTGGGGAGGGGAGAAACAGGAGAAATGTTTGACCACTTCAACGCGAATTAAAGACAACACGTTGGATTTCTTTCGGAAGTTCAATGTACAAAGTGAATTAAAAACTTTTTAGTTTGCCTTTTTTTAAGGTAGCATTGGAAAAAATGTAATATAGGTTCATACACTGGATTTCCTGGAGAGTAAAGCTATTAATCTTAAACTGGATAGTTTGGAATTTAATCTTAAAATTCTTCCACTTGACAGGGAAAAGTCCTACCAACCGGTATGGAAGAATTCAGTGAAGTTACGTCTTAAGCTTTGATATTACAACCTACTCAGATCTCTATGACACTTTTCCAAGGGGTTTCTGCATGCAGTGACTGTCTTAAACTTGTGCTAACAGTTTGGTTTAGTTATTTAATTCTAATTCCTCACTTGATATCTGCTGTCCTTCCTCCCCTCCATCCTTTTTTTCTTTTTTTCCTTTTTTTCCCCAGCAACTTTTCCAGAACTTCTTAGCTGCTTTGTAGAACAACACCTATTTCAAACACTGAACTTGTAAAAATATCCAGCAACGGGTATTTGTCTTGCGGCATAACAGAAGTCCTGTTTAATAAACATGTTCATTTTTTTTCAGGGTACTTCCTGAGCTAAGTTTTGTGTTATACTGATTTAAAGCTAAAATCCTAAGTAAATACCGACTGTAACGCTGTATCGAGTTCTTGGTATAGTGCTGTGGTAGTGGAAGTTTTTTGATGTAAATAGAGGCTGTCCCTTTGATTCTTGTATATAATTCAGTTCCTGTATAGTTTAAGAACAGTTTAGTCCCACATTTCTAATCATGGGTAGATTAGTGAGAGTAGCGTAATGTTTCCAGTGGATGTCTGGGTTTCAGCAGGGAAACAGGTTATGGGGAGGGAGGGGGGGTCCTAACTGTGTGCACTTTTAGATGTTAATTACATTTGCAGGCAAATAACTGTAATGCAAATGGTACTGGAGAAATACTGGGTGTGCTTGCTAAATTGTTAATGCACTACAAGAAGAGCCTTTTAGGTTATTTAATATGTACAGGATACGTTAGAAAAGTGTATTACGAATTCTAACATCTCCAAATAGTGAAACTCATGGTTTGATAGATAGGTAGATAGGTGTTTGATGGAATCCATGATGCTAAATTTAAGATTTTCCTTTTTACTTTAATGTAGAATAATTTGTAAAATTGGTTTATGAAAGATTTTGTTACAGGGAAGCATGGTCTGCTGAAGATTTTTTTAAATGTATTTTTCTAGACTAACTGCTGTATCTGACATATTTGTTATGTCTAACCTGAATAAAGAGAACCGTCAGTTTTTTTCGAGTTTGCCATTCCCACTTCAGACAATATGAACCCCCTTTAAAGGATAAGACTGATGTATCTTACCACTTAGCGTGGCTGCTGCTTGTGACAAAGAGTTGTCATGCCTAGATTAAAAGATGAATGCTTACTTTATAACCTGACCATTTCAGGAACTCCCCAGTCCCTTTCTTTAACAATTGAAATTCTAACGTAACGTTCAGAGAGGGCAGAAGTAAGTTATGGATATAAATTTGTGATTTTTAAAGCATATACACTGGGGACATAACTGCGTTTCTCTCCGATCTGTTATATACCTTTCACAACACAGTTCTGGCTTACAGTGAAGGGGATGTGTGGTGAGGTGCTGAGGTGTAATCAGATGAATGGTACAAGAATTTTGTGGGCATAGGGCTTGCATGGAAAGTCTTCAGAGATAAAAGAGATGCTGAGTTACCTTGTGGCTTTCTCACTGTCGTCTTGTGGTAATGGTGAAGTGTTGTGGTTTGTTGCAAAGCGACCTGGGTGAGAATTGTGAAAGCTCTGTCTCCGCAGTGTATCATCAGCCTCCTGGTAGGCTGCTGCACCAGAGCAGTGCGGAGCGGTAGGTGTGCCACGAGCTACTAGAAATTATCAACAAAGTTGAAGTCTGTTGCTGGAGATTATTCAAATCCCATTTTCAGCTCTAAAATAAAAAAGAATTCCCACTGCTAAATGAGAGGGCTTGTCCACAGGTCACCCTTTCTGTATGAGTGTTACTTTTTTCAAAGAAAGAATGCCTTTTTAGAACAATTTGGTAATGAGGATGTCGCGCTTTTCCTTGTATTCCCCCGAAATAAAGCATTTTGTTATTACAATGTAAAATATGGTTTTGTGCAGTGAAGTTGTTGTATGTTTTAATTTTCCCAGTTTTATTTTGGCGAGGGGAGAGTATTCTTTTCAACTGAAAGAGGTGTAGCTAAACACTCCAATCATTCAGGAACAAGAGGCTGTCCAAGCAGACTCTGTGCTTATCATGCCAACTTGAAGCTGTGTATGTCAGCACATTGGGTTTCTTCATTATTTCAGGTGCCTTGTCTTGTTCCTGCAGACAGCTTTCTTTTTAAAAAATCAAAACTGATTTTTTGCACAGATGTAGCAGGGGAAAGCTATTTGTATTGGATTAAACAATTAAATTTACGTATTTCTCAGTTTTGGCCTTAAGTCAGATTTTGTTCTGGTTTAAAACCAATTGAAAGGCTGAATATAAACTTCTGTAGCTGTAACCACTCGATACTGGAGGTTCAATATTATGTATCAGTGCCAGTTGAAATCTTGTTCTACCGCTAGAGCGGTGTTCAGGTTATGCTGTTAGTACCAAGCAGCTCTCAGATGTGCTTGATTTATACCAGATATGGATTTTTTTCACTTTAAACCTAGAGAGAGAAGTGGATACAAAGACAAAGGGAATAGACAGTCATTTCATGTAAACTAAATTTTTTTTTATTCAGAGTTGCATGTAAATAAAGCTTCCTGCGTGCGAGTGGATAGGTCACGCTTACTGCCCAGGCCCAGACTTTCCTCGCTGTCTTCACAGAAAGCCACAACAAATTCCCTTTGTACTGAATCCATTGTATCCTGGCGAGTGAATCCTCGACTTGTAGCACAAGAGAGAAATGAGTTTGTAGGTGATAAATACAGTATTAGTTTTATTCCTATGTGTAGCCCTGACGTTTTCCCCTTAAAGGGAGCAGCTTTATTTAGCTCCAAAGGAATCAGTTTTCAGAATCAATTGCTTAATTCATGAGCCGTACTGTAAGGCAGGCACAGTGGGGCATTCTGCTGGGCAGAGGGGGAGGTTCAGCATGTCTGATGAGGCCTCTGCAACCGCCGAGGAGAGCTCCTCCAAAGAATCTTAATTAGCCTTCACAATTGCAAAGTTTTGTGGGCAAGCAGCTGGTAGAATTGGATCAGACCTTTTCAGAAGTAGCCCTGTACGACTGTGGGATTTAAATGAACATTTTCCCTCCCCCTGCCCCCCCCCCAGCATTCTTGTAAACAGAGCGCTTGTAAAACAAGATCACACTGTGTAACAAACCAACATGAAAGACATTCAGAAGCGATTTGGCCTCTTGGTCCTTTTTATTGCCTTGAGAATTAAACGGCAGCCCTGATATTAGAGTTTCCTACAGCTTCCCCAAATGGATTTGAGTTTAAAGTAGTTGACTGCTGCTTTCTTTCGAAGGAAGAAATCCGTGTTGCATTCAGCAAACTCAGAAATGCAAAAGTGGAACAAGCAGGGATAGCATCAGGCTTATTTCTTACAGAACCTCATCTTGTAGCTTATTGCACTAAAATGCAGTTGGCTATGGCAGGAGAGAGCAGATCCTTGGTGTGGGAATAAGTAAATGCAAAACACTGAAGGCAAACAGACAAAGCAGGTGTGATGGACAAGCAAAAAAGCAAAGAAACAGTCATTTAGAAAATCTGCAGGAATCCCTGCCAGAGACCTGGGCGAAAGCCAGGCTGCCAAGAGTTGTGGGGCTGTGTTTTTTTTTTTTTTCTTTCTTGTTCTGCCTTTTCCACTTCATGCAATGCAGTTGGCTATGTTTTATAAGGGTAAGTTGCTCTGTCAACAGGTGTGTTCAAGTGACAGTGGCAAAGTGGCAGTGCCCCCCTTTCTCTTGACTTTCCCAGGGCAGCTTCTATGTGTCAGCTCCTCAGTGATGAGCTTGTGTCCAGGTTCACTTCACACACACCTGAGTGCAAATGGGAGTGAAGAACTATGTTTCTTCAATGTAGTTGTGAATGCACAGCCACCGTCTGTGCGATACAAAAATACACTTCTTTGCAGTTTGGCAGCATTATTCTGGTGGCACTGAGTGCCCCATCTGAGATCTGAACTTTGTGGCACCAGATCTTGAAGAGCACGGGTAGCCTTGTCTGTTATAATCTTAGCATATCAGAATAAAAATATGTATAAATGTAAAAAAAACACAAACCAAAAAACCCAAGCTAAGCTATCTGCACAACCTGTTTAGATTTGCATTTATGGTACAAATTTGTTCACAATAGTTTGTTAATAGTGTGAAAGAAAGCTATCATTTAAAAACAATAAACAATGTAATTAAAAGCTGCCATTTTTTACCTCAGGCATTGTAAGAAAATGTTAACTATTGGTTAGCTTATCTAGTTCTTCATGTGCTGCACTAAGTGGCTGGAATCAAACTCCTGGCAGTGTGTTAGCTGGCCGCTGATGTGCCAGTGCTCTCTGCCTTCTCTTTGCCAAGAAGATGATGCTGAGCTGGTGGTGGCTTCTTGGCCTTCTGCATGTGAACACCCTGTCTTGCTACCCATTCCAGTAAAAGAAGGTGTCTAACCTAGAAACAGAACTGCAAATCACCTTTTTTTCAAGAAAAGCTTTCCTGTCAGCTTGGAATGAGCAACACGTTGTCCAGAGGCATTTCTGCTGTGCAGTGCTGCACCAAACTGCTGCCTGGTGCGGGGATTCTCTCTCCATGAACCGAGCGAGTGCATCTTCTGTGGGTGCTGGCTTTGGCAAGTCCCCTGCCAGCACTCGTGGCTCTCTCCACAGCTTTCTTCTGTGAAGAAAAACAGAGACAGGATTGTGCAAGAGGTAGCACCTCTCTTCTGGCACTCCTTTAAAGCATTTAGTGCATAATTTATTAATTATGGATGCTACCATACTTCCTGCGATGAAATAGCTGCTTCATAGCTGAAGTGCTGTTCTCACCAATATACTAGTTGTGCTCTAAAGGTTCTTATCCAAATTTTAAAGGTAAGATTTCTTTTCTTATGAATCTCTACTTTTCCTGCATCCATCCACCTGTTATTGCTGCTGCGCTGAAA